GTTTGCATTAAGAAGTTTCTGGTGTGCTTTCGAAACTTTTGTGGTTTGCTTTGCGAGGTTTCTGGTTTGTTTTGTTATATATTTGTGGTTTGCTTTGCGAGGTTTCTGGTTTGTTTTAATATATTTGTGGTCTGCATTAGGACGTTTTTGGTTTGCTTTATTGTGGTTTGCTTTACCGTGTTTGTGGTTTGCATTAGGGGTATCTGGTGTGCTTTTCAAAATATTTATGTTTTGCTTTGTGTTTTCAAATTTTTTATTCCAAAGCACTTCAACGAAACTAAAATGAAATATAGTTAAAATATGTTCAATTTATTAATTCATATGACTACTTATAAAGTTGTAGATTAGAAATTATATAGCTAAGCATTTCATCATAAAACAAAGTATAAACATTGAGATCAAAGCAACTAATGCCTAATTGGCCGCCATTATAAAAAATAAAAAAAACTAATGCCTAATTGGCACGGAACTTTACCAATTTGAAACAGAGGATATTGAGAGACAAGTTTTATTTATATATATATATTAGGGTTTGTCGCTGCATCCCACTTTAGGTAACAAGTTCGTGGAGCGGGAGCGGAAGCGGGAGCGTAAGAGCGTCTATGTTACAAGAATCTACAAAATACTATAAGCGGATGTCAATAAACATCCTTTCCCACATCAGCTTTTCCTGCGCAACCCGAATTCCTAGGGAGGACACCCCTGTAATTACTCAACCCGCTCCCAGCGTTCAGTTCACACTAACAACCCATGGCTGCCGCTTTTTTTCCCCGCAACGCCAGCTATCGATAAATCTTCTTCTTCAATCCCTCGAAAATTTCTGTGTAAGTCCGCCGCCGCTAAATCAACAAATCCCTCCGCCGCAAGCTCTTTCCAGTCACTTATTTAACTTACGCAACTGAATAGCTGCTGGTGAGTCGTCGTACCGAGTTAGGAGTTGATGCCGACCGAAAGTCCGTGAGTATTCCTCTCCCTCTACCCCCTCCATCTTCTACAACATCGCTCTCTACTCCAGGATTCCTTGGGCGAAGTGCATCCAAAAGATGGGAAGGTCCGTAGCTAAATGATCTCTGAAATTGACGAGGTGATGAAGTAATTATAGAAAGATAAAGGGGAATGGGTTTGGTGGGGAGGAAAGAAGCGTGATATTGGTACTGGAACCAGCAATAAGTTGGTACTTAGTACTGGAAGATTAGTAGATTAGTTGGAATTTGGATTAGTTGGCATTGGAACCAAAACTTAACCAAAAGTATGTTTTGTTCAAATTAGATGGAATTTGAATAAGATTGGACAAAGATCAAAGGAAAATTGAGAACAAATATTCGACCAAAAGTATGTTTTGTTTATTGTGTATGATTTTATAGGCCCGAATTTTAATTTCGGACCAATTTTCCTTCATACTAAGATAATTTGTAGGATCAATAATCAAAATATACTCTATCTTATTTGATTCAGTCTAGAATTCAATACAATCCTGAGACTGCATCTGAATTTGGAAGAAAATAGATTGCCCCAAATTAGAGCATGCACTTCCGCGAGTAGTATATGGCAAAGTACTAAACTCCGGCTTTAACTTCCTGCAACTGTATGTCTATCAATTTGTCTAATGCTTATCCACATGGATTCAATAAACTATTATTCATAAGCAAGTTTCATGCAATATCAATAACCAAACTCCACGCCACTCTAATTTTAGGTGATTCCTTAGCTTTTGATACTATATTTTCCCCCTTTTACGTTGATTTAGGGATACTATTGCCACATGAAAAATTCTAACTTGGCCTCTTCATAGATTAACACCAATTATATACTAAAGCAATAGATTTAACCCAATTGACACAAAAATATGTGCTACAATTTGTGGACCGTGGATATACAATGTAATCTCATGCTTACCAAGACAAGAAAAGCTTATCAAGGTTTTCAGAAATAGTGACAAGTGCAATAATGATCATACACCACAAAATCTTCATCCCTAAATTCGACGGTAAACTATACCAATGTATATTGACAGAGACTAATAACGAAAAGATGTCAAACGTTGTTGTCAAGACATTTTATGGATAGAGATCGGAAGTCTACAAACAACCGACATTATTTCAATAAAGAATGAATCTCATCTATTTGTTGCCCTCAATTTTCTTAGACCAGCCCAAGCAAACTTATATATATTGTCAATATTCAATAGGTCAATTTTCACGTATGGGAATGTTAGTGAGTGGATTTTTAAATTGTTTCTGATTTGCATTTTGCTTAATGCTTATCATTCTGCAAGGTGATCAATTGAACTTTCAAGGTGTAACTTTGTAACATGAAGTTGGTTTATCCAATTCGTTCTCAATTGTCAACTTCTTTACTTTTATATACACACTTTAATTCTGCCATGATAAATTTGGTATTGTTGTAGTTGAAAAGAATGTATGACACAGCTTAGTTAAAATTTTGTTTCACATATTCTATTGATATTTTACATATTCAATCTCCCCTTCAAGAAGAAATAGAAAACTACGCCGGCCAACGGGCCGGGCACGATTACTAGTTCAATATTAAGAGCGTGAAGAGAGGGCTATTATTATATTATTTTTAATTATTTTTTCACATAAATTAGTACAATTTAGATCGAAAATGATAATAAAATATTATTTTATTTTGATAAATTAATCATTGTTTTAATTTTCTTTTTCCACATCTTATCTCTTTCTGGGCGACACTCATCCACCACTCTCCCCCACCACAAAATAAACCTACAAATCTCTCTCTCCATTTTTTCCCCTCTCTCTATTCGACCCTGCGCGCAGAGCAAGCTGATATTTTATTGATCTTCAATTTTCCATGCAATCTAAGATCAAAAATTTCTCTCAAATCTCGCAATCGATCAACATGCTCAATTGTACGGCCTAAAAGAGGAACAATCTCAATTGAATCGGGAGAAGCGAAGTCCACCGTCTGCTTGCAGTAGTGGCGGTACGGCGTCGGCAAAGAATGGAATCGGAGGCTGAAACTCTTAAACTCCACACAACACTTGGTGCAGGGAATGAGGACGCCGTTGACATCACCAGGGAAAGATAGCTTGACTCCAACGAGGAAATTAGTTCGTCGAAGTCAGCGGTTGATGAGGGTATTTTCCATGTTTTGGGCTTTGGGTAGTTTCGGTTTGGGCTAGGGTGTTTTTCCTTTTGGGTCAAGTTTTCCTTTTGTGTTTGGGAAGGGGTAGCCGAATTGGGGTATGATTAGGTTAAGTATTAGGCTTTTCTAAGCCTATAAATATGTACTTTTGGCATTAGTTCCGTATCAATCAAATAAATCAAAGGTTTATAGACACCAACGTCTTTCTCTCGCTTGTGAGTTACACGCAAAACCCTTGAATCGTGGGTTACGGTTCATCAATTGGTATCAGAGCCTGGTTACGCCTCCTACTGGGAAGGGTCTAGCCCCGTACCGCGCCCTTGCACGCAATGCGAAGATAGCGCTCGAGCAGACCAAGGTCGCCTGTGCACTGCTAGCAAAGTCGCGTGAAAGGTTCACGACATTCTGCCGCGAACGGGAGCTGAACGCCAACCGCGCAATCATCTTCGGAGGAGAGCGAAGTGACGACAACGTGGCCCGCGTTGACGCCAATGAACCTAGGGCGGCGGAGGATATCAAGATCACCATCAACGAGATCGGCGGGAAGGAAACAGTGCGCAATGGTGATTATCACCTATGCGAGGCTCTCACCCAACGATCTGGAAGCGATAGGAAGGAAACAGTGCACCGCGGTCATTACCACCTCGATGAGGCTCTCACCTATCGATTCGAAAGTTGCGAGAAGGATGCGTTCACGGTTGGAGTACAAACCGTGAAAGATGAAGCGGCTCTTGGCAGCGTGGAAGGTTTGGTGCCGCGACAAGGGACGCCATCAATAATTGAGTCACTGCCGTGCGATTGGCAGGTTGGAGATGGGCGTGTGCTAATTGGGTCACGGGAGCAGGAGAGGCTGTTGTTTGGACGTGCCGCTTGTAGGAAAGAGAGGAAGCTCTCTTTGTCAACGGCACAAGGGAAGGGCGGCAAAGTGGACAGGTGTGATGGTGTGGGTGATCGAATTGTGGTGATTAAGGAACAAATAATTGTGTTCCAACATGAATTATATACTTGGCAGATTGGAGCCGGAACAGGTCGTGGGCGGCCTGAGTTGAAGAAGCAAAGGACTAAGTCGGGTCAAGGTCGTTCTGATTTGCCGGAAGATGGAGCTGCTAGGTGGCAACCAATGCTTGTCCTGCCAAAGGTATGGAAGAGATCAAGAAGGAAGTCTCGTAAGCTGCCGTCTCGAGCTGTGGGCTGGAAGTTTCTGAAGCGACGAAATCCTCGACGTCCCTGCAAGAGCTGCTGTTGCTTTTGTCATCGACCACCGCGTCTCGGCATTGGAACGAACCTTGGGGACCAAGGTTCTTTAAGGGGGAAGGATTGATGAGGGTATTTTTCATGTTTTGGGCTTTGGGTAGTTTCGGTTTGGACTAGGGTGTTTTTCCTTTTGGGTCAAGTTTTCCTTTTGTGTTTGGGAAGGGGTAGCCGAATTGGGGTAGGATTAGGTTAAGTATTAGGCTTTTCTAAGCCTATAAATATGTACTTTTGGCATTAGTTCCGTATCAATCAAATAAATCAAAGGTTTATAGACACCAACGTCTTTGTCTCGCTTGTGAGTTACAAGCAAAACCCTTGAATCGTGGGTTACGGTTCATCAGCGGTGGGACGGCTGAGCACCAGGAATCGCTAACAGAGTGAAAGGTGAGAACGTCGATGTGGTCGATGCCATCCAGGATCTCCATGGGAGATCGCGCTCCGGAAAATTTAATTCGCGCTCCCACTTTCTTTAGTTCGCGAATTATTACCGGTTTGCTGAAAATTCGCGTTTCCGCGCGCTGGAGCGGGAGCGACAGGCCCTTAGGAGCGAATTAGGTTATCTAAATCCCACTATCACCAGAAAGAATGGAGAATCACAGGCTTGAGCGGAAGCACTGCCTCCTGAAGCCGTTCTTGTCGGTGGTCCCATTCTGCCTGTTCCTGATGATGGATATCTACCGGAAGTACGAGACCCGGCCGAGCTGCGACGGCAAATCCTGCAGCCTGAGTTAACAGCTCCGCCACCAGAAATCAATCATGAAGAGCCAGAGGAACGCCCAGTTGATCGCCGCCGCACTGATCTCTATTGGCTGCTTTATTTCGTCACCAATCTCATCGTCAAGAGAGAGCAGCTGAATCAGCGCGTTGAGAGACTCAAGAGTAAGGAGTGATGGAATTGGAATGTGCTCGGCATCGGCGGTGGGAATTGAAATATTTTAATTTAATTATATTTTAGTAAGTCTACCCTTGTACCATTAATGAATCCTGTTGTTAGTATAACAATATTTAAGGTGTTGTTATACTATCCGGTAGTGATGGGAATTTCAACCCACCCCGCGGGTATTACCCGACCTGATCCGCGATGGGGCGGGGCATGGGTATCTACTTCCGACCCGCCCTGCCCCGTTCTAGACTCATTTTATCTCAATTTCTTACAATATCTATACATATTTCTTCTATTTTGACTTTTCTTCAACTAGTTAGAGTCGATCTTTCAACTTGTTAGGCTCAATTATCCATTCTATTATCAATATTTTTCATTCTTAAAGTGTTATTCCCTACGTTTTATTGTAAAAAGTAAAATTTACTTGTATTTTTTTGAACAACATGTAAGAGTGAGTCGATCCGCCCCGCCACGTACCCGCGCGGGTTTTACCCGCCCCGACCCATAGTAGCGTGGGGCGGGACATGGGAATTGAGGTACCCGCCCCGCCCGCCCCATTGCCATCACTACTATTCGGGCCCATCCTAAAGTTTGTTAATTTGGTACATTCAGCCTTCCACGTCACAAAAATTATTAATAAAAAAGCAGATCCAACTCACACAATGGAATGGACACTATTGGTTTGAAACATGTAACACAATGGTCAGGTCAGTAAAAAACAATTCACTTCAAAATAGAATTGTCATAATAATGCATTTAACTGGGTAACAAAATGGGAAATGGTTTTCGCTTGGTAACAAATCCAATGCATAGTGCAGGGAACCTGAGTGCCGTTTTGGCCACTATTTTCGGTAGGTGAGGTGTAGGGCTGTAAATGAGTCGAGTCGAGTTTTATCCTATTTTGAGTTCGGTTCGTTAATAAACAAGTTGAGCTCGAGCTCGGCTCTTTTGTTAGCAAGCCGAGTTGAGTTGAGTCGAGTTAGAGTTAGCTTGCTTGCTAAAATCTTAACTCATATTTGATATATTCATTTTGTATGTTATGTATGATACATGTGATTAATGTCAAGATGAAGATATAAGTAATATATATAAAGAAGAAGTTCAGTTACTGTTTACTAAACTTGCAAGCTGAGGGGCTGTACACTTTACATTTTGATACCCCAAATTTAATTAAATTACAACTTAGTTACTATAATGTATATTTTACATTTTGATACTCCAAATTTAATTTTAATGTAAAATCATTGAACAATTATGTTTTGGTATCTAAGATTTATGAGCTTTTCGTACTTATAATTTTTTTTTAAATTTACATATTGGTCCAATGTTTAGATTTTACTTGAATCCATGAATACAATCCACCAATTCTTTTGAATCAATCCATGAATCCAATCTATCATAACAAAAAATATAAATGTAGTTTGTACCATACAAGATGTTGTATCACTCAACTGTAGAAGAAGATTCGGCCATTTTATATTATATTTGCTCATTACGTGAAACATTAAATAAATGATAAAAGAGAGACGACTCTAAAATATTGCAAGAGCGATTTTATAAACTCATTTAGTACATTTACGGGGTACTAAACAAACTTCTACTAACTACATGTAACAAAATAGGCGACATCTACATAAGCAAGTGTAAATAAATTGCTACGGTGAAAATGGTTGACTGTTGTATTGACGACCAGCTAAAAGTATTGGTCAAAATCTTTCCATCATCTACTTACTCTTCGTTTCATTTTTCACTCTCTTTCAATAACCCTTTCTTTATTTCTTTCTTTACCTTCTTCGTCTAACCCTAATTAATATACAATTTTTATGTATTCTAATCACAAGTATGAACGAGTCCATACACGACTTACCAACAGTCTAGAGAATTAATAATTGAACCATGAACCACTAACTTTTTCAGTTCAATTAAAAATAAATATATGTGGTTGTTATTTATTAGAAAGTAATCATTTTCCACTATGGGATTTGAAGGCGTGAAATTTTAAACGAGTTCCGGTTTGTATTCATTTTGCTTCTCCCTAAAGTTTTTCTTTTTCACCCGAGTTAGAATACTCAACAATTATACATGGAATTTTTGGCTAGGTATCTTCATATATCAAATAATAGTTTCCATTTTTCTATAAAAAAGTAAATAATTATCATCTTAAATATATCACCATAAATGAATTAAACCTCAACTATACAAATTACAATTCGGTACCTAAACTTAATAGATGTTTAGATTTATAACCTAAATTTATTTTTTTGGCACATAAGTCCTCAAAATATTGACGGAACATTACATTTTAGTATCTAAATTTTTTGTGTATGACATTTTTTGTTCTTAAAATTTTGAAGTTCTACAAATATGTCTAATTTTTGTATGTGTAATTGAAACACCCTCGAATAAATGGGTATCCATATATCATTTATCAGCTAATATTTTCAAAAAATTTTAAATTGGATGTTGACTTACATATATATCTTCTCAGTCAATATCATATTGTCAAGTCAATATTACTAACAAAACTACTAACAAAAAATTAATTTTAGACTAATAATACTAACAAAACATCATAACGGGCCACATAATACATGCCCATAGGCCATCTCCGCCCGCGGCACGGCGCGGCATCGCCACCTAATAAAGTAATAATAATAATAATAGTTAAGTGTTTAATATAAACTAATCTCATGTTATATCTTGTGGTATCATATTATTTAGTTAATAAATTTTAACTAGAAAAAATTATTTTATTTTGTAGTATCACAATCTATGACACATAATTTCTTTTTAAAATGAAATGAGACATATTTGCTCACATAATCTACGTGCTAAAATTCATATAGGGTTAGATATATAATTCAACAATCACTATGAATTATCATAATAAAACTCATATAGATCGATTCATTCATAAGTCAGTAATCGAGTTGGCTCTCTAGCCCAAATGTTGAGTGTTGAGACATCTCATGAGCTCTAAACGAGCCAGCTCACGAGTAGAGCTCAACAAGCCACCGAGTCGAGCTAGCTCGCGATCCACGGCCTGCAGAAGGCCTAGCTCAAGATCGCTTGTTAGTAAACGAGTCGAGTTTTGAACGAACTTTTTCCGAGTCAAACGCCAAGCCGCTCGCGAGCAGCTCGGCTCATTTGTAGCCCTAGTGAGGTGATATGACTTGGTTCATTGGCACTTGGTCCATAAAGTTGCTAAGCACAAGCAGAGAACTGTTTAAACACATGCAAACCAACTTAAAACACATGAAAACGTACCTTCAAATCTTCTGATTATAAATTCGGCCAAAAACATAAATTAATTATAAGCGTCATTTTGTTGCTCACATTGTGGACGACCTAAACATTCAAGACATTCCAAACAATCAACTTTATTTATAATAAACCAATTCTCTAAAATTACAAGAGACTAAAATTTGGGTTGTCTCCTAATAGTACTTTTATTTATCTTCTTTAAGTTAGACGTTAAATATGGACCGACTCATATAGGGCGCTCTCTCTTTTATATCTGCAAACTAGAGGTAGCCGTAGGTAATTTTGAACACGTTTCACGGTTGATTGAGCAAAGGAGCAAGGAGAGACGTTTTCAGATTTCGCGCCGAAGAAATTGGCGCGATAGCTTGATTTCACGACCGTCTGTAGAGTGGCGGAGCATGACTCTCACCTGTTACAGCAACAGTCGGATTCAATGCTGCAGCTGCGTTTGCAGTTACAAACACCACAACCGAAGTCGAAGCCGAAGTCGCGAGATCTCGCCGGAACGGGGTTGGAATTACATTCGGATCCCTCATCCTGTAGCTCGGCACTGCGAAAGCAACTCATCAAAGCAACATTCGACCACTGTTTGGCCCACGCCGCCGCCCATCTCTCCTACTTCCATTCACTTCACGATGTCCGCATGCCATCTGCAAATTCTTCGACGAGGAGCTGGTTCTAGGCACCTAATATTCCTCCCCCGGATCCCCTATTCTCACCTTCCTCCCAGCGACAGCAAATCTAAACCCATATACAAATAATCTTCTTCCACAACCTCAATTTCCCATTCCTTCGGCAGCCATGACAACTATCAAGGTAAGACCTAACCCAAAAAGATTAAGAAGAAGAGCAAAAACCTGAACCACGACTTTCACGGGCACGATGAAGATGATGAAGATTGAGAAGCAGTCTCCGCAACTGGTGGAGACGGCGAGGGAGCAGAAGGTGGAGTGGGGCAGTAGGTGGAGGAAAGGTAGAGGATTAGGGATTTAGAGGATGGAGAGGTGGTTGGGAGAGGAGAGGGAAAGGAGGAGGAAGAGAAAGCGAAGAGAGAGATGGTTGGGTGAGGAGAGGGAAAGGGATTTTGGGCAGAAGGAGATTGTTGCTGGGGAGCAGAGCAAGAAAAAATATTTTGTGTTTTTATTTATTCCAAAATTAATTATTATTATAACTAAAAATGACGTAACAATGATATGTTGACGTGTGCGATAATTTGCCATCCTAGTCAACTAACCTAACTGACGGAGTTTCTAACACCGTTAAAGTTTCTAACGGAAATGGCTAGATTTGTCACACGAGCATCCAATTGTTTTTTTTGGCTATTTAGTGTTTTCAGATAGTTATGGTTATATTTGTCACAAATGTGAAAGTTATGACAATACAAGTGTATTTCGTCTTTTTTTTAGCCCCCAACTAGAAATTCCGACTTCACTCCTGGGTCAACTGTTTTATAGCGTTAAAAAACACGTATCGATTTATAGTTAGATAGGGATCTTTCTCAATCGAATGGTAGGATATAGTTTTACAAAGTACTAATATTACATCTCCAACTGGAATCTTATTTACAAATTCAGAATGCAGCTCCTAAGACAAACAGTATGGCAAACACATCAATATTGTTGCTCCCATGCGTACCAAAAGTGATATCCAAAAGAAGAGAAGGAACAGTAAATTTTGGGCCGCCAACGTAAAATCCAGACTTCACTCATGGTTTAACAATTTTATACCGATAAAAACCACCTA